CCCCAAAACCCCAAAACCCCAAAACCCCAAGATCTGTGTGAATTCTTGAAATTTTAATTAAAATATGAAAATTATTTGATAGTTTAGGTATTTCATAAAAAAATTGGGCTGATTTATAGTCCTTACCTTGGACCACTCCAAGAAGTGATATGGAGATCATACATATCTTAAGGAGGTTGTCTTAAAGGATTTATGATGTTTGGGATTTGGGACTACAAGCAAAAGAGAGCTCAAAATTTCCTTTGTGGTTCATTATTTCTTTGAATTTTTTCATGTGTTTTAACCTTTGTTTTGAGAGTTCTAGAGTTTTAAGAAAATTTACTGGGTAAGATTTTCAATTTTATGTTGAGAGTGGAATGACTTTTTGACTCACGAAATCGTCCACTCTATTCTCTAGTTTGTTTGGTCTCTGTGCAAATCTTAAAAATGGCTTATTTCTTCAATGATGATCTTGATACTCCTCTATTTTCTAGAAAATCTAGATTGAGTGACTTCTCCAATCATAGAACTTTTAAATTCAGGCTGAATCTGATCAACAGATTTGATCAGATTTCTGCCTAGTCTTCTTTTCTTGAAGATATTACCTTTGTGTTTATGCCTAAGTAAGAGTCATTTCTTTCAATGATCTAAAGACAATTCTTTCTCATTTTCAAAATTGTACACATTTCTGAGTCTACTTTGGGACAACTCTTCTGGTTTTATTTTAACTAACTTTATTTTCTTTGGAATCAAGGAATTGGAGATCTCAAAAACGAGCTGTGAGATCTTTTCTCATTTGTTCATTCAATAAAATGTTGGCTACTTATAGAACTATGGCGGGATCCCCTTTCAATGGATTCTTGCATCTTAGAATCCTTCTAACTAGTATCAAATGAGTCTTTGGTAGGCACTTTAAGAAACCTTTTCGCTCCAGAGTCGAACCTTGCCAAAGACTTCTTTTTAGGTATGCTCTGGCCACTATGTATAGGTTTGATCTTGTTCTTGCCTATATTTGTAGAATTCCTTGTTCTTAAAAATTGACTTTTGTGAACAGGTGCCATCCTACTTTTTCAATGTAATCATACTATCTTTCTTTCCGGGGTTTGGAATACTTTACTTTCTTCTGTGCTTTTATTTTTGATACTAAAAAATATGCCTATATTTTTCCAATCTCAGTGTAATATTTGAAGACCATTTTGGTAAGAGCTCTATGAAGGATATTCTTAGACTTTAAGGACTTTTTAGTAATAAACTTCATCTTAACCTTTTGTTTTTCCTTTTCTTATTCTTTCTCACTGACTTGGGAATTTGTACTCTTCTATAGCTAGTTGTTATCGTGTTTTCAACTGATTTGTTGCAGCTGATTAGCTGTTCATATGGTTCTGGGTTTATCTCCTCCATTCGGTTGAGAAATTGACCATGGCTAGTTTTGATAAGAATATAAGAGATAAGTTTCCAATTATTTCGTAGCTTGAATTCCAGGACTTTGAGATGAAAAAGAGTCGCTAAGAGATGAGTTAGAGTTTGTCCTGATTCTGAAGAGAATTCCATATGAGGTCTGAAGCACTTTACTTTATTTAAAGTTCTATGCTGATTGTATGAAAGTCTTACTCTCTGAACCTTTCTATTCTCTTAATATTGTTGCTTTCTTTTTCCTTCTGTGAATTTTGCATACCAATTAAACTTTCTGTGAGATCAGGCGCTGAGAGCTTGATGATTGGAAAGCTATCTTTGCTGAGTTTAGACTTTGCCGTTGGGCTAAAGTCACTTTTCTACTTGATATTTTACAATCATTAGAGTTAATGAAATACGGGGTAAAAATTTATGCATACTCAGAAATTAGCACTAGTGAGTAGTTCCGACATGAGAAATTTTAGGTCTTGGCTTGATTTTAGGAGGGATTGACATCATTATATTTTTTTACCTGATAAAGCTTTTCCTGATCAATGATTTTTTATAGTCATTTAGCATATTTTTTGAAAGATAAACTGTGATTTAAATTATTATTATATTCTTTAAAGAAAGAGTTAAAATTAAATAGAGTTATATCCCGATATCATAGATAGACAGAGTTTAAATCCTATAATTGTGGCTACAAAGATAAATGAAGCCCTAACAACACATGGGAGGAACCCTTTAGTGAATCCATATAAACCATCATTTTTGTATACATATCTGACTATTTCTATATTATTGTTAAACTTTGGATTCTCAAATCAGTCGGATTGGTGGATAGCTTTGATCATATCAAAAGGAAGGATGCTGTCCAAAGAATAACACTTGAGACACAGCCAATTGGCACTCAGATAGGAGTAAGTTTGAGACTATCTTTCTTAATATATTTCTTTTAAAGGTCTAGTACATTTCAAAGAAGATAGTGGATGCTATGATATTTCTGTAAATCGTACTTCGTACGCCTTTGTAAAAATCCTGATTCCATATCCATTTTTAATTTTGATGAATGCATTGTAAGACTCAGTATATTTACGATGAGATTCTTTCTTTTGATTCTGGAGTATGATTAGAATATGCTCTATTGGTGTTGATATAAAACTATTGTTTATTTTAGCGAATCCTTCTTATATATAATATTGAACAGAAGCTAAGTAGACACTAACATGATGTTTATGATTGTATTGCTCAGTTATCTTTTTAAAAGCTCATTGAGCTCAAACTGGACAGAAATACATAATGTAACACCTGAAGGAGGAATAAATGTTCCTTTGTATAAAACTAAGAGCTCTTCTCTCTGATAGATAGATTTTTCACAGTCTGTCACATTCCTGTAGAAAGGAGTTGATGAATATTAGTTCTGCATTCCTACTTTTATGATATCCAACGGTTGACTGCACATTACTTGAGTAATATCTCAAATAGAACCAGCAAAGGAGTTAAGTAGATAGGAATTAATAATGCTTGGATTTTCTCCATAATCAACATTTATAGAAAATTAAATTATGTATTATTAGAAGGTATTTAGCCTGGGGTTTTGGGGTTTTGGGGTTTTGGGG